CAATATCAATTAGAAACAACGTTAATGTGTTTGTGAGCGAATTTCCCTCTCAAATAAATTAACCGGTTCATAACCGCCATTTTCGTGCTCATCTTACGGTTTCAAATTCAATCATTTTCTCCCAACACAACACCGACAAAAACACACAGAAAATGAATATCGGAACTATAACGTTACTGTTACTACCATCAATTGGTATCGCGTACGGTTCGCATCAGCACGTCGTTGGGGACTCGATCTGGTCAATCCCTCCAACCCACGATTTCTACTCAAATTGGTCCACGTCATACTCCTTCCACGTCGGGGACACGCTCTATTTCGACTTCGACTCGGGATTTTACGACGTGAACCTCGTGTTGAGGGGCGAATTCGACAGCTGCAGTGGGGCCCACGCTGTCCGGGCCTTCGTTGAGGGCCCGGTTTTTTTCCGGTTGTCGAGGAAAGGGGCTTTCTATTTCGTTTGCGGGGTTTCGAACTACTGTTCGCTGGGGATGAAGGTGAGCGTGGTCGTGGATGACCGTTCGGAAAGCCCGTCTTCTTCGCCGGTTCCGAGTTTCGGGCCCGGAAACCCGCCTGTTGCGGGCCCGTAACTTTCTCGATCTCATAATGTGGTGAGGAGAAAGTGGTCATGATTTCATTTGTTAGGTAGTTTCTGAGACCTTTTTTCTCGGGCTCATCGTGTTATTCATAATGATCTTTGTTGTGCTGTTGCTAATACTTTATAGCCAATGTTTTTTCTTGAAGATAATTCTTTTGGCAGGAAAATAACCCAACTGAGTTGTTAATTACTCCATCATTATAAGAACAAATATAACATAATATAACATAATATGATATTTGTAATATAAATATCTATTTTTGTTTATAAAGTATGACAGATCAACCGCCTAATGATTAGAATTTCTCGCACAAGAAATTGTGATATAAATAATGTTGAAGCATATCTATTTAACTGTCGAACTTGTTGGAGTATTTGGTGAAAGCCTTCTTTTTGGACTTGCACCAGTTGTTGTAAAACCTCCTCTTCACTGAGATGTTGGGCCCAAACAGTATTCAGGCAACGGAGTCCACGTGACGTCTTCACATACCCAACCAGTATTCAGGCAACGGGCCCAACCAGTGTTTTAGTGCCAATAGACAAACTAAAGTCAAAAACATAGATATCCAAACCAACAAAAATAATACAATGGGGACAAACAGTTCAAATTTTGACATGAAACAAGTCCGTCCATTTCACAGTACTAATTCGACAAAATAATTATACAAAGCCTCCCAATGCAGATTTTAATTAAGTTAAATGCAGAAGCCAAGTACCAAATACTCCGAAAGCAAGTTTATTTACAGTGATATAGGCCTTAACGAACAAGCCTTATGAAAATGATTCATTTAATATCTCTATCTCGTGCATCGCCGAACTACTTAACGGACAAACTCTATGAAAGTAACTCATTTAATATCTCTGTCTCGTGCATCGCATGAGCTACGTACTAGTTATCCTCCAAACTAATATGTCTTGGGTGGGGATAATATCAATGGTGCATTTGGCTGGGTTAATAACCACTTTGTTTGATAATAAACTAGTGCAATTTATGTGGCATGGCAATAATAATTGACTAAATAAATCCAATTGAGTTATATTGTTATTTTAGAAATAATATCTAAAGAAATTTATTTTTCATCTTTTACATTTGTTTTAATATATATAATAGTTTAAAATGAAAAAAAATATTGATACTCAATAAAAAAAACAAAAAAAAAAAGTNAAAAAAAAGACAAAAAAGTAACATTCTCTATTATAGCAAAAAGATTGTTTTTGGCGGAAAATGTTTACATGATCATATGCATAAATATAGTAATATATATGCAAAAGACCTCCGACCGGCTGGAATCGGCCTAACTCGAGCTCCTCCCCGGTTGAACACCTTGAGACCTGCAAAAATTCTCATATCGAAGGAATTTTCCGGTGAATAGCCTCTGATGCTTAAGTTAGCAATGTGAAGAAGATAAAGTGTTGTATGAATGTAGAGTAATGGAGAGTGTAATTTAATGTTGGGCATACCTCACTTCTTTTTATAGGGAGATGATATCTTGTTGCTCAAGCCTGCTAGAGTGGGTTGCCCAGACTACCCGTTTGTCCTGCCTGAACTGTCCAAACTGCTCAATTCCGTTAGGCCACGTGGCTCTATCGACTTTAGGGTTTAATCTCAATAATATTCCTTCTTATCCTTTAGTCTTCCTTATTAGACGGTTTAACCGTGGAACCGACCTTGATTACCTCGAAGTATGGTACTACTGACATCGAGCTCTGTTATTTTGCTTGTCTGGTTGATCCTTCGACCAGATGTACCTTCAGATCGAATTTAAATCAAGCCATTTGATGGCCCTAATTGACCTGACGGTGCTCTCTGTCCCCTTGACTTTAAACTGAGGATCCTTCGACTTGTGAAGTCTTCAATCTTCCTTCGACTTGATAGTTCGCACGGTTTGGTTATGTCGTTTCACAAATCCAGTCAACTTGATACAGTATTCCATATCATATATCATATTATGGATTCAATAAATTTTAGATGACATTCAAAATTTATATTATATTTACTAAAATATAGCAATTCATAATACTGTAATTGGCATATAATAAAGATTATGTAAATAAATAATTTACCTTATTTTATTTTACTAGTTGGTATATAAAAAGAATGAACAATTAGTCTTTTCTTCAAAATTAAAAACAAAGATTGTGAAAGGAAATAATTGGTGTTTACTTATTCCATAGATAAAATCAATATATATAAAAAGTTTTCGATTTATTAGAAATAGTAAGATTTTCCCATAAAAAAAATTGCTCACTAAATAAAGAATTTTTTAAATACTTTTCTACTTTCTATTTTTAATTTTCTTTTGGTAATTTTTTTACCATCTCTGGTGAGACGCCTATTTTTATTTTAGAGAATATCATATCAATATTTGATCGAAATCTATTTATTAACTTTCTTAAAAGTTTCACAAGGTCTATCAAAGTCACTCACTTTAAAATGTCTTACAAAATTTTAAAAGTCTCAATTGAATAGACGGAAAGTTAGTCTCGTTCCATGGTAAAGAAAAAGTCAATTTGGTATTAAATTTTTTTTATCGCCAATAATGAAAAAAACTTCTAACCGACTGTCCAGTAATTTTTTCAAATTACAAGAATAACTTTTAAAAATGGTGGAAAAAATTTGGATATTTATAAAATTTTGAAAATGAAAGGAATAGAAAGAATAGTAATACTAGTGTTTAGGCATATTTATTTTCAATTTGAAATGTCCTGATATATAAAATAACATAAATAAAAATATAATATTTTATAATATAAATATTTATTTTTAATTTGATAATATATTATTATCGTTCCACATGACCATTTCCCCATAAGCATGTCTGATGTCTGTGCAAACAATAATACTAATAATTAAAAAGTAAATAAAAAAAGGAAGACGGTTTANGCAACAAGAACCGCCACTATTTACGCTCCCAGCGAAAATTTCTGATTCAGTGGAGCGATTTTGAGGTGTTGAAGTGATGGCAAGGAGACCAGATGAGGAGTACGATTACCTCTTCAAGGTCGTCTTAATCGGCGACTCGGGCGTTGGCAAGTCAAATTTGCTCTCCAGATTTACTCGAAATGAGTTTTGCTTGGAGTCCAAATCCACCATCGGCGTTGAATTCGCCACCCGTACTCTTCAGGTCCAACATTTCTTTCTCCATTTTTCCTATTTTTAGCATTTCTCTACTTAGGGTATGTAGGAATTGTGTTTTTACTGAGTGATGTGGGGGAAATAGAAAAGGGTAATGGCGACTTAAATTGGGTTTCATCGAATTATTTGTTTGTGGATTGATACTTGATATCTAACTTTCGATTGCGATTTAATGAGTTTAGGTCGATCTTTGTTTTCTTTTCCATTTTCTTGTTATGGATTATGGAACTTTTTTTGTGGAGAGTTTTTGAAATCCTAGATCTGTTGTTTGATGGGGTGCGGTTATCTTTTGAGGTGGTGATCTCTTGATTTGTACGTTTTGGACCTCATTTGAACACTTGTTCCCTAAAACGAATTGAAATTCATGAATTTGATGCCTCTGTTTTCCCATATGCTACGGAATGCTTGCTTAAGTGGTGTTTTTCCAGGATCTGACTATCCAGTACATATCTCTTTGCTTTGTTTCAAGTTGGATCAGTTTATAGTGATTGGTTTAGGTGATGAGGATCATATATAGAAACCAGTGCTTTACACATTAGAAACAAGAAGCTAATGGGATAGTAATAACTAAAACATAGTGATACTTTATATCTAACGTTGGTTGCAATTTAAGGAAAAAAAGGGGCGATCTTTGTTTATTGTTTTTAATGGATTCTGGAACTTTTTTGTATAGAGGCTTTGAAATTCTAGATATGTTGTTTGTTTGATGGGGTGGGATTACCTTCTGAGGTGGTGATTTCTCGATCTGTGCATTTTGGACCACCTTTGAACACTTATTCTGTAGAAACAATTGAATACATGAAATTGATGTTTCATTCACATCATTTCAAGGTGGATCAGTTTATAACTTTCGTGACTCAAACTGCCGGTACGCTTTCCGGCTCGCAACGACTCAAACGGGCGGGGGCTATCTATTTGCTTGCAATGCGGGCTGTTCGCCTTTCGGATTCGGAAAGGGTTCGCCTATTTGATTCAAAAGGCGCTACTAAACTACTCTAGTTTGATTAGCTTAGGGTGATGAAGAGAACATAGGGAACCAGTCCTTACACATTAGCAACAAGAAGCTTATGGGAAAATGATAACTAAAACAATGAAGACATCACAATCCCAAAACCGATAATAGTTTAATGTTTGCTTTGATTGAGTGGGAACCGGAAAAGAATTGGAAAAATGCTTTGTTGGATTCTCATGTCGATTTGTATTGTTCTCATATGGGCATATTGGCATGTCAGCAGTTTTAAGGAACTCAAATCCAAAACTCATTTTTCTTATGGTTTAACACACTTCTGATAGAATTGAAGTGTTCAAAACAATACCATTGTGTGTGTGTGCGTGCGCATCTTTTTCATTTTGTGCTCTTTGCAAGACAGCCTTTGGCTTAAAAACTGGCAGGTTTGACCTAGTAATTTATCTCTACAATTTCATATTAGTTGACTGGCTTCTCATTTAAGTTCATTTTTTTCAAAAGATAAATAAATAAATGAAAGTTTGCTAAATTTTGTTACACAGGTCGAGGGTCGAACTATAAAAGCTCAAATATGGGACACTGCAGGTCAAGAGAGATACAGGGCCATAACAAGCGCATATTACCGTGGTGCCCTTGGAGCCCTTCTCGTGTATGATGTAACAAAGCCCACGACTTTCGAGAATGTGAACCGCTGGCTGAAAGAACTTAGGGACCATGCAGACTCCAACATTGTTATTATGCTCATAGGAAACAAAACTGACCTCAAACACCTCAGGGCTGTGGCCACAGAGGATGCTCAGGGTTTTGCCGAGAGGGAAGAGCTTTCATTTATTGAGACATCTGCTCTGGAGGCCACTAATGTGGAAAAAGCTTTTCAGAATATTCTTTCCGAGGTTTACAGGATTATTAGTAAGAAATCGCTTGCATCCAACGAGGCTGCTCAGACTAACATTAAAGAAGGACAGACTCTTGTTGTGGGAGCAGATAACAATGGGAAGAAGGCATGTTGCTCGACTTAAATGGCCAAAAAATGTTCAACTCAAGTACCTGTTTTACTATTTTGTTTCTCTTCTTTTTTTCTGTTTTGGGAAATCTTTGCACCGTTCTAATGGTGGAATGTTTAGACAAAGTTATTGATTCATATACTCTGGCTTTTGGAGATTTTGTTGGTTGTGTGCATTTTGAACACAAGGTGGATGAAGAGAAGATAATTATTTTGTGGTTTAGTATTATTTTTGCATGTTGAACGCAAGGTGAATGAATGGGAGATTATATTATTTTTGTTCGTATATTCACTCAGTAATTTTTCAAAGTACATTTGTCGACGGGAAAATATTGTCTCCGTTTGTGTATTTTGTAGGTCCATGCTTCAAAGGTTTATCTACATTTCGAGATCTATAGAATAATATGAATTCATAGAGAATTGGTGATAAAAAAAAATTAAATGCTACTATGATGTTACTAACTGTATAATAAGGTAATTAACACAGCTTTTGACTATGATGTTACTAATTGGATACTACTGATAATAACACAGTAGGTGATCAACATAGCTTGAAAACGTGAGTAGATGTTTAACAAAACTTAGAAAATGTGCAATGAGAATAGTTGCTTGATACATTAATTTATATTTTTATTATTTTGTGTTTATAATATTTCAGGAGATGTGGATGATTCGAGTAGTGTATAAATATTTTGTTCCTTCGAAATTTGTTATCGACGACCACAATTTTAATAGCAATATAATGTAAATTTCCATGGCAAAACATCACTTCGCCCCAAAATTAGCAGTATCATACAAAGACATCTAAAGCATCTACTGAAATTCCAAGTCAAAACAATCTATTTCATTTTTGGAATTCACACACATGTCATTCACAGAAATCTTAAGAGAAAATCACCAAATACTAAATCATAGTAAACTCCATTTGTAGATGCATGTAAGTATGAGCAATAATATGAGTGGCCTTAAAGAGGATATCATCAACCATAAAGAGTATAGTTTAAGTACGAATAGAAACATAGCCAATCTCTGCAGTAGTTCAGGGACATTTAATAGACGTATGTTATATTTGTACAGAACTTCTACACTCACAAAGTAAAACAAAGCACATCTAACCACAGCAGTTACCATTCTGCTCAATTGGCTGACCCGTAATCTGGACTCGACCAGTTGTATTGCTTGCAGTTGGCTGGTTTCCCATCCTGCATACAAGAAAGAACTTAGGTATATGTCGACAAATGTAATGATATTTGTTAAACTTTTAAAGATCACAGCATAAACTAACACATTGGAACAAATACAAAGAAAACATCCTGTCTGATGAGTCTGAATTCTGTTCAGATATTAAAGAATACGATAACAAACGAAAATAAAATAAATAAATAAATAAATACATAGTGACCTAGACAAAGAAGATCCTCTTGAAAGAGTAACATTCTGAAAGCAAATAAACAAGTGAAGCTTAAACAAGGACACATGGATATAATGCAAAGGACAAATGACAAAAACTGTCGCAAGGGATAATTTTAACTATACATGGATCCTATTATCGTTCAAAATTAAGGTTATCATCTTAAGGTCCTAGACACCTCTTTGAGGTTCGTATTTGCTTGAAAATACCCCATTTGCTTGGGCATTCTGTAGAACACAGCTCTAGCAATTTAGGTCATCTTTTTTTTTTTTTTTTTTCTTATAATCAGTATCAAGAGTTCTCTTTGCAACTAACGATATTATATATCTAAAAATTGAACGGTCCAGATAAAAGTTTTGGTATATAATTTCTAAGCATGAGCCAACGGTAGAGACCGTGCCATGTAAGATGGTATTGAATTTATTAGTAGCTTTACTTTTTCTTAATCTCCCCAGTCATAGTCAAGAAAGCCTGTTCCACATTGATCGAATCTTTTGCACTCGTCTCAAGAAAAGGAATTCCGAGCTCGTCAGCAAAGGCCTGCAAGTTTGAAACAGTGCAAGGAGTCAAATTAGACCATATATGGTAAATGACTTTCGAGAAAAAATAAGCAAATGTCAAGAAAGTGGGATCTTACTGAATTTACAATTGATATTTATGTTTGTTGCAATAAGATAACATTCATCCACTCCTACTTCATGTGTCCCTTATTATTTTGTTGGTTCAACAGACAAATCATGGATAATCATTCTTTGTGCTTATTCCGTTGCAGTACTTCACTAGCCTAATCTTTCATCATCATCTCCAAGAAATTTTATTTTCTTATTCGTTTTTTCTTTGATAAAAATCAGAAGCCAGAGGTTCAACATATCATCATATGTACATGTTTCTCAACTCACTGCCTGAGTGAACATGTAGAGCTAATATATACTTATATTATGTAGATATTAAAAACAAAAAGAAATAAATGAAAAGACAATAATTTGAACTTGAGGGGAAACTTTCTGCTCAAAATAAGAACGGAACTTCAAAGGCTCTGAGGACTGTTCAATGTTCATATCCCATGTTGTAGCTCTTACCCAGAACAATTTGTCACATTCAGAGAAATAATTTCACCCCAATTTTTCCTAGCTGAAATTAAACTATATGATACAGAGACAACACGCCAAACAAATCAGTGGTGGTGCAGGTTTAGATACTAGGAAACCGAAGATAATTCGAATTCTATCAATATGTGTATGCACATGAAAGATTTTACAAATTGCAAGAATGGTTAAATTGACAATCTGGAGAAACTTCATATGGTGTCTAATGAGAGACTCAGAGTTATGCAAACAACTGAAGCTTCATAAACTCAAAATATTTATTTAATAATATATAAAAAATAAAAACAAATACCTTAGCTGTCTGTGTATCAACAACTTTGCTATCAGCTAAATCACATTTGTTCCCGACCAAAAGCTTGCAAACGTTGTCACTTGCGTACCTATCAATCTCGTTAAGCCACTGCTTCACATTGTTGAAGCTCTCCATATCAGTAACATCGTACACAATCTATAGAAATCAGACGCGAGTGTTAGTCCTAAGAATAAACTAAAAAGCAGAGAACAGGCGACACTAAGTGACAAGGGCCACAACCGTTGCCACACATAACAACGATTTTTTTTATTATGGACCAAGATATGATGCTAAATGAAATAAAAGGACACTTGAAGAAATTGGGATAATTTTCAGGACCCCATTTTATGTAAACTATAAAGCCACTAAATAGAAAAATTGAGAACCAGTGAAAAGGATGGAAGACCCATGGGACCAAATTGGTAACTGATTCACAACATAAACATCCAATAGTTACAATAAATTGATTGAACTTAAGTGGAAAAAATCAAAATACATCAGAGCCTGATATGATAACAAATGTGAAATTCAAGTATAATATATCTAAATATTCCTTACAATAATCCCATGGGCTCCACGATAGTAACTGCTAGTTATGGTCCGAAATCGCTCCTGCCCAGCAGTGTCCCACTGCACATACATAACAAAACAGTATTGTGTGTATGGGGGAACAAACCATGTGTAACCTTATATAAGAAACATTCCAAAATTCTAAGACATTACTGAAAAAGGGGTGGACCAATGGCCAATCCAAACAAATAGAAACCATTATTTTTTAAAAAAGAACAAAAAAAGGAAAATAAAACAATCTTTAAGGATAAAATTGGGAAAACTTTCCACAATTGCTGACAAATCATGTGTCCAACGATCCCAGTTTCATGGGCATTCCTTAATAGCTAGACAAATAGATGGCAAAAGGTACACATTCATGCAGTTTATATAAGTTCTTGCATCATGCATCATCTACTACAGATACCAACACAAATATTTATGAGTGTATATGGGAACTTTAAGAGATTAACTCACGATTTGAAGCTTGATTGTCTTTCCATCTGACTCCACTGTCCTAATTTTCTGTAGTGAAAACAAATACTCCAATGAGATTATTCCAGAAGAAGCATATGACAAAACCACATGAAACCCTAAAAAACAACTCACAAAATCAACTCCAATAGTGCTTATATAGCTGTCCACATACGCATCATCCTAAAATGGTACACGAAACAACAATACTGTCACTTTTCAACCTTGGAAACTAATTAAAACGCAAAATATGTAAATTGGACCAAATGATTGGCAAAAACAGTAACATGCAAATGAAGAAAACAGAAAGGAAGAACCCATTTCAGGATACAATAGTTCTCAATATCCTAACCAGCAGAATAAGAGAAAGAGAACGAATTATTCAAATATAAACATATTAGGAACAAAATGTACCGATACAAATGCATATAATTCATGCTAGAAAGAAAAGGATAACAAAACTTAAAAAAACCGATTAAAACGTACAGCGAATCTGAGAAGAAGACAAGACTTGCCGACCGACGAGTCGCCGATTAAAAGAAGCTTGAACAAATAGTCGCTATACAAAAATAAAATTNAAAAAAAAAAAAAAAAAAATCAACATGACAAAAAGTAATAAACATGAGTAGAAACGAATACATAAATTGAAAACCCATCTGAGATTCTTACTATTCGCCGCTCATGTTTTTCTCCGGCCGCCTTGCGATTATCGGAGTTTTGAAAAGAAACGAGAAATAAGTGATTTTATTAGATTGTGAAGACGTACAGAAAAATTGGTACTTCTAGTTCTAATATGGTAGCGGTAGTTAGAGGTATTGTAATACAGAGTAAATGCTTGTTATGTCTCCAACACACCATCTGTCGCTAAATTGCAAAAGTGACCCACCAACTATAGGGTGGTAGCAGATTTGGTACACTAACTTGAGGGTATAGCAATTTTTACTCCTTTCAAGTATAAGATTATGTTTGGTAAAATTAGTTGATATGTAATTTTTGAACTTATTGTTCATAGCTTATGACTTACAACGGTAAAAATAGCTTATAAAATAAAAGTATTTGGTGAGTAATGCTATAGAGTCTATTTGAATGACAACTTGAGTTACAACTCAAGTATAAATGCATTATTTTTTAATTTTTTTTATAACGCATTGCACTTGGGTTATAACCCAAGTTGTCATCCACGTGGATAAATAACATTACTCTTGGTAAAATTAACTGATAAGCTATCTGAAATAAAATTTTCAACTAGCTTATTTGAAAAATTACCTAAAAAAACTTATGAAATAAGTTTATGGTAAAATATGGGTGCAGCACAAATACGGGATCAAGCGAACACTAAAGTGAGCGACCCACAAAGACATGCACACCATCACGTAAGCGGCTCAGGGACACGAAGTTAGGTCTACCGATACCTTGATCGACAGAAATAACTCTTGTCAATCACCCTATGAATCTTCTCAGGGAATATTGGCGAGCACCCCCTTGTCTGAACGCAGAACTGATAAAACTGATGACACCACCCAATCTGTCTCATCTTTTTTTTTTTTTTCAGACATCTAAGGGGAAAATAGCAATCTGTCTCATCTTCTAAATGGGTGATTGCATGGACGCGCCACCCTACGCTCCTAGCTAGCACAAAATATTTAATGTTTTTTTTTAACCTTTTGTTTGTAAATACCGACCCCTCCAAGTCCTAAAAGATGATTGCAAAAACAGAAATGCCACAATATTGATCATTGAAAAATATTAGATCGAAATACCCTCGAGCACATATAAAATTTCCTTTTTCGTATGGCTGTAATATATTACTATACATTTTTTTAATAAAAATTCCGGAAAAACATTCTCTTTGTCTCAACTCGGCAACTCGGTGACATCAAGTTTTGCCAAAAGCCTGTACATGATATTTTCGATAGTCGGCCCCTATTACATATCTACCCTAATTTCACAGTCTAGTTTACCAAAAAATTATCAACCTTCATTGGAAAAGAAAGGATATACACGATTTAAATACTGTACATACATGTTTTTCGACCTTACAAACCCAAAAAAATTCCTTCTCTCATCTTACAATCAATAATCACCCAATTCTTGGAGAGTTGCTCCAAGAATATAAGAAAATTACATTTTACATTTTCCAGTTTTTTCTTCATCTTCAAAGCCAAGCTGGCAATGGACATGAAATAAATGTTATTATTTACTCGTCAGCTGCATAAAACGGCAATATTTTGACTCGCTCAATACCCAACAAAAATATACAATCCAGGGGTAAAAGAGGACATGCACATTTTGATGCAGCTCAAAGTTTGAACCTTTTATAATCAGCGGCCATTAACGTATCCTAGGAGTGTATCTATATGTCCATTATCAAGCTGGCCTAGCCTGCTCTTACTCTTGTCACGGGCTTTTCTAACAGCTAACTGAATCTGTTTTTCATGCTCTTTAAGCATCTCCTCCACACTTCCACCAGGAGGCAGCAATGGCCCAGAATAGTGCATTCTTGTCTTCTTGAAAGCATAAACCTACAATTTTGCATTGTACAATGTGTGTAAATGCAACAAACTATATTAGTAGGTTAATTGCCAAATCCCCATAGCTCATGGGGTTTGCTACAATTTATGCTTTTTTTTTTTCACTGTATGTGGATTCCTTCCCTCAAAAGATCAAAAATTGCACTACTTTAGCCTAGTTACAAAAACAGCCCATTATCTTTCCAAATTACAGATATCCCCTTAAAATATGATCCTACTAAACTAAACCTGATTGATAGTAAGAGAAAGAAATCTCGACTTGATTACCATATTAGCCTCCTTCAGATTAGGCGCCTGCCCATTGATCTTGCATGTGGACTCAGCTTTTCCCAGCAGATTATTCGACTGCTCCAGCATCTTCCATCCGTTCATATGGATTTCGCAAGTTTGCATGAACACTCGAATCTCGGCTGAAATCAAGCTGTGAGCTGCCTCGGGCAGCTACCGAGTTGGAAAACCGAGCCAGTTGGACAGCTGTCCCCTGGGGCTTGAAAGACCTCTGAGTTTTTAAGTCTCGATATCCTGAGGAGTCAATCTCGCTGTTGCTCTTTGGATTTGGTTGCCCTTTCCTTTTCTGAAAATATGAGATGGGAGGATTATAAGTCCTCTCATGTTTTAGGTTTTTTTTAGAGGGGTTTTATCTAATAAGATCCTAAAATAAAATGCTAAGATATTCATCGTTATCCAAGCACTTGAACAACTTAATATCAAAATAAAAGCAAAACATGTAATAAGCTTTAAAATCAGCTAACTAAGCCTCAGGAGGTTAAAAATTTAAAACAATAGTTACATTTAACTCTACTTGTAATTTACTGAGAATAATATATACCTGTACTGAAGCTGGCAGCTCAGCATTAGCATCAGGTGCTGGGATTGCTTTGGAGACTTTTCTGGATGACTCGACTCGGCCTCTCTTTCCACCAGCCGCACTCTGTCTGGAGTTATGCATAAATAACAAACCAACAAGACTTACAATTTATGAACTAAGAATTATACATACATACTGGCAGCTATTTAGCTGTTTCAGACAAAAAACTGTAAAAACGTGTAAACAACTTTGTCAATACAGATGGTATTTATACCTTCTTGCCTCCTCATCTCATGCTTTGATGTCATATTCTTTGCAAGGTGGGTATTTCGGTAGAGATGAAGGGTCGCAAGGTAGAGGTTTTGTCGTGAAGAACTGAAAAAAGAGGTGACTCGTGAATAAACAACTCACGAAAATATAGCTATATTTTATTCTTTGACCAAAAAAAGAAGGGAACCTAACTACGACGTTTTTGTCACATTGACTACCCAAAAAGAAGAGAAAAGATATTGCCTACCTATTCACATAAGTCCAACTATAGAAATCAAAATTTCAAGGGACCGCTCTTGGGAAAGTCAAAGTTGCTATAGGAAGAAAATGAAAAGAGGAACAAAATGTGTTACCTCACTGTGAAGTGCAGAAGTTGTTGACCCTCTAAGCTCCGGTTCAAAAGCAAGAAGAGATTCAAGAAGTGATAAAGCCAAAGGAGGGAAATCTTTAAATGTCTCAGCCACACATCTCTTGTAAGGTTGCTGAGGCTTAAAGATTGTAGCATGCAGTAACTTTGATTTCTTCCAGTATTCTTCCGAGGGCGAACCACAAAGTTTAAAGATTTTGTAAAAGCTGTTCAACCTGCATACATAGTCAATCAGATTTTTTTATTTTTTATTTTTAATTTTTAAAAAGGCCAGTGTTTAGACAAGTTTCTATAGATATGCACCAAATGAAACTTAAAGACAAGTTCTTTAACACTACTATGATGACTTGAGTAAACAAAACGTGAAGTTGAATATAATGTGATCTAGCACCTAAAATAGGCTAATATAGTTTATATCAAAGAATATAGTGAGGCCATCCGTACAAGGCTGGGAAGCATACAACCAAAATAACATTAAATCAACATATTTGCCAGAGCTACTCAAAGGTTTTCCCATGAGCCACACTTGAAATCACAATTAGGAGAAAGAGAACGCTAAAGTGAAATTATAAAGCATAACCAAGCACAAACACTTTCACATCCCAAATGGAAAATAATACCATCTGTAATTCACACAACAATTAGGCAATAATATTCTGTCACATCATCCTATTTAGTCTATAGACAAGAAAAATCTCAAATCAAATGGACTCAACAACTGGAAAAGCTATTAAAAATTTAGATTGTACCCCATTATTGCACCTCCAAAAAAGGACTCTTGTTCGAGCAAAAGGTGGAATATGAGTTCGTCCCCCAGTATTGCACCTTTTGCAAGTTTATTGGACACACACTTTCCAATTGTGGGAAACACATTGCCACCAAAAGGCCAAAGGTAAGAAAACTACCGGGGAACCGGAAAACCTTGAAGAAGGAGCACCCTTGGAGGCCGCTAAGAAAACCGAGGATAACGCACCAAAGAAGATTGGGCTTGTGGGTAAGAAGGCCAAGGTTACAAGAGGTGAAGCGACTATAGACCAACTTGAAGGCATTGCTAGCAAACCCATGGAGTTAGGAGTTGTGGGTAAAATGCCCAAGGAAGCATTAGGCGAGGTGACAAAGGAGAAAGGGAATAATGAAGGCTTGAAAAATGCCCCTTTGGAGACCGTTAGCTCCTCAGACACCAGTTCATCCTCCACCACACCCGGTGACAAGGTCACCCATAATCCGGAGGCCTCACCCCCGGATGATGATGACGCTTCCTTCCAAATGGTGGGGAAGCACAACAAAGGACACAAACGGAGTAGTTCCGTGGCCATTTTAGCTCACTTGTGGGACAAGCAACAAAGCCTAGAGACAAACCGAATGCGAGGAAAGAGACGGACAAGGGAACACACTTGAAGAAAGGGGTTTTCCCTCCTTTTCGCAATGATTCTCGCCTTTTGGAATATTAGGGGCTTCAACGGGCCCCTAAAGCAAGATGAGGTTGCTAACCTCATCCAGAAGAATAATATAGACGTTTTGGGTCTTTTGGAGACGAAAACCGACAATAGGCGTCTCTCTCTCTTTGTGAATAGGAGGTTGTCGGGTTGGGCTTTTTGTGATAACTTTGATGTAATCGATCGTGGTCGTATCGCCATTCTTTGGAACCCTACGAGAGTTGACCTCATGGTGGAGGACATCATGCCACAAGTTATTTTTGCTACGGTCCATTGTAAGGTTAGTAATCACACTTTTGTTGCTAGCTTTATCTATGGACTTCATTCGAGAGGAGATCGAAAATTATTGTGGCAAACGCTCAAGGCCTCCCGTGGAAGATCTCTCTACCTTGGTTGCTTCTTGGGGACTTTAATACTATCCTCAAGCCGGAGGAGAGAATCAAGGGGGTGAGAGTAACTAGTCGGGACACAATGGACCTTTTGGATGCTTGTGCTACCTTGGGGTTATCGGACATTCCTTTGAGTGGTTTCTTTCACACTTGGACCAACAATCTTGTGTGGTCGAAGCTTGATAGGGCTATGGTGAATTCATTTTGGGAGAATGTCAACTTCTTTTCGCACGCGAAGTTTTTAGCCCCGGGTATCTCCGATCACTCCCCTTGTATTGTGACTATCTTTGAGGCTAGAAGTACTAGTGGGACTCCTTAGCGATTCTTTAATATGTGGACGGATCATGTGAATTTTTTGCCGTGTGTCCAAGATACTTGGAACCAAGGAGGAGGGGGAACGAGAAAATTCTGACTTAGCACAAAGTTGAAAAACCTTAAGAGCAAGCTTAAGGCACTAAATGAGGAATCCTAATCGCATATCTCATCTCGGGCCAAAGAAGCAAAGAGTGCCCTCAAGCTAGCCCAACAAACGCTCCATGACTCCCGATGATACCGACACCAAGTCTATGATGCCTTCCCTTCGACTTCAAGTACTTAATTTGGCCAAGGCGAAGAAGCTCTTCTACCAACAAAAGGCCAAATGCAACTTCCAAGTAAAGGGAGACAAGTGTACCAAGTTCTACCATGCCTTGGTCAAGAAAAGATCGAAGCGTAATTTTATAGCATCAATCAATCGGGAAAATGGTACCGTGACTGACTCCCTTGATGAAGTCGCTAAGGAATTTGTGGGATACTATGAGTCGCTTTTGGGAACCGGTATTGATACGGAGGATGTGGATCCCCACGTCCTTTATTCGGGACCGCGCATTACCGACGAGCACCATAGTTCACTCCTTGCCCCAGCCGATATCAAGGCCACCCTTCATGACATTGTCGGGGAAAAAATCCCCGGATCCGGACGGCTATACCTCCTCCTTCTTCTTGAAGAGTTGGACCATAGTTGGGGCCGATGTAGTGTTGGCTATTCAAGAATTCTTTCGCTCCGGCTCCCTCCTCAAGCAATGGAATCACACCGTTCTTACGCTTGTCCCGAAGTCCTCACACTCCTCGTGTGTGACGGACTTTAGGCCAATTGCGTGTTGCAACACGTTGTACAAAATTTGCTCCAAGATCCTTGCTCGGAGAGTTAGTGAAGTCCTTGATTTCATCATTGATGAGGCCCAAACAGCTTTTGTTAAAGGAAGGAATATGTCGGACAACATCCACCTTATGCAACAAATGCTCCGTCAATACATAAGGAAACGAGTCACCCCAAGTTGTACCATTAAAATTGACCTCCGTAAGGCCTTTGACTCAATTTCTTGGGCATTCTTGAAACAAGTGCTCGAAGGCCTTGGCTTCCCATCGGCCTTCACGAGGTGGATTATGGAGTGCGTTACAACCCCATCCTACTCATTATCTATCAATGGGAGCCTTAAAGGTCACTTCAAAGGGGCGCGTGGACTTAGGCAAGGTGACCCTCTCTCACCTTTCCTTTTTGTGATTTGCATTGAATACCTTTCAAGACTTATCAAATGCAATACGGGGGAGGGCTCAAGCTTCAAATTCCACCCGATGTGTGAGCGTCTCAAAATCACACACCTTGCCTTTGCCGATGATCTCATGCTACTATCCCGAGGCGACCCTTTGTCCATCCAAATTCTCATGAATTGCCTTAAAGACTTTGGGGCTAAATCGGGGCTAGAAATGAATGTCCAAAAATCAAAAATATATTTGGAGGGAGTACAAGATGCTAACCGGGCAACAATTCTTGACGAGACCCACTTGCAATGTGGTCCAATGCCCTTTCGGTATCTAGGTGTCCCACTCACCGCGGAGCGTGTCACCGCTAAACTATTTGATGGCTTGGTCAAGCAAATCGAGGCACAACTTACTAGATGGAGTGGCCATACTCTCTCATATGCCGGTAGAGTGGAACTCATCCGCTCGGTGATCCAAGGTATTGAGTTTTTTTTGTTGGGGATCTTTCACTTACCTACTATAGTGCGCACCAAAATTATACAACTTTGTAGGCGATTTCTTTGGGGCTTGAAAAGTGCTACCGTTGCTTGGGATAACTTGTGTCTCCCGCGCTCGGAAGGGGGCTTGGGTCTTCGTGACTTGAGTGCTTGGAACCAAGCGTTGCTAGCTCGTACTCTTTGAAATATGCAAGCCAAGAAAGACACCTTATGGTACAAATGGATCCACAACATATATTTGGGGGGCAAATCCGTGTGGGAATGGAAATTCACAAGGATGACTCGCCCCTTTTCAAATACCTCTTCGAGATCCGAAGGGTCTTGGTAGATAAAGCGGGAAGTGAGCAAGCCGCGAAGGCCCTACTTCATCGATGGAGTTCGCGAGGCAAACAAGATGGGTTGAGAAGTTGCTACGATTTCCTAAGGCCTCACGGTACTTTGATGCCTTAGACGGGGGTAATTTGGGGGCCTTGCAATACCCCCAAACACTCCTTCATTCTTTGGCTAGGAGTGCTCAATCGTCTCCGTACAAAGGATCGGTTAGAGTTCCTTGATGTAGACCCGACTTGTTCTCTTTGTGGTAGTGTGGATGAATCATCGGGTCATCTTTTCTTTGAATGCCCTTTTAGCTTGGAAATATTGGGGGTGATCCGTGATTGGGATAACTCCGTCATAGGCCATCGACTCTCAAAGGGGCCCTTAAATGGATCGAGAAGGAGGTAAGAGGGGCTAGTTGGCAAACCAAGTTGAAGAAAGTAGCGCTCGCGGCTACCGTCTGCTTCATTTGGAATGCGAGAAATAGGTTAGTTTTTTATAACGAATCTCAACCTACGACCCTTGTGATACGTAAGATTAAAACACATGTTTATCGTACAATATTTGCGGTGTACCCGAATGTACTTGTCGAGTTTATGATAGACTTCTCTTGCATTGGGAGCTCGAGAGTAAAGGCAAGAGCTTGTCCAACGACGCCTTGGCCGCGGAGGGAGTCGAGCCGAGCATAGTGCCGTGTAACATTAGTGTTTTGACACTTTTTGTCTTATTAGAGACTTGAGTGAACAACCGACATGTGGTTGTCCTCTTAGACCGTTCATATGCGAGTGTGGAGCCAAGCTTGTGGCTCCCATTGCGCTTTTGTATGCTGACTTTCGGTCGTTTGTACACAAGTTTTTATTTATAAATTTACATTTACTGATGAAAAAAAAAAATAGATTGTACCTCTGTTCTTCCGGGCATGATTGGTTTCCCCGCAAATAGTTCGGCAAGAATGCAACCCGAGCTCCATAAATCTACAGCTACGCCATAGTCTGTAGAACCAAGCAAAAGCTCGGGAGGTCGATACCACAAGGTTACAACACGACTAGTTAGGGCCTGCTTTTGATTGGCCCGAAAAAAGGTGGCCAGCCAGAAATCACCAATCTTAAGATTTCCATGACCGTCAATCAGAAGATTTGAGCCCTTAATATCACGATGCAAGACTCCACGGTTATGACAGTGTTCAAGCCCACGAAGCAGCTGTTGCATGAAACACTTTATCTGCTTGCACATTACGTAAAATTGCCGTCAATAACTTGCATATAAAAGACATTACATCCATGAAGTAATGAAACAAAAATGGAAATGAAAATAATATATCAACAACACACCTGAGATTCAGTAAAGCGAACTAGTGGGGAAGCCGAAAGTCCAGCAAGATCGTGTTCCATGTATTCGAATACAAGGTAAAGATTCCCCGAAACCCTAGAAGTGACGAGACCTTGAAGCTTCATGACATTAGGGTGATCGAGCCTGCGTAAGATAAGGATTTCCCTAGCCATGAAACGGACACTTTCTGGGTCCATGTTCACAAACCGCACCTTCTTCAAAGCGACGATTTTTCCAGTTTCAAGGTCACGAGCTCTATACACACTGCTGTATGTACCCTGACCAATCTGGGAGATTTGCATTACAGTAGAAACAGTTTAAATGTCAATGTTCTCATATAAATTCCATAAAATTGCTTCAGAGTTAATTTACTGCTTAGTTCCTAACATGCATTGCTACCAGGAAAGCAACTCATTTATCTGGTAAAAAATAATAACATTGTACAACAATTATAACAAATGTTTGAGGCATATGAAGGACCTGCATTAGCAGTAAATAGCAGCATGTGGAGAACCTAAAACGGCCAAAGTCGGCAAAAATCTACACCCTAAACATTAATTCCAAAATTCCACCAAACTTCCTTTAGAATACAAAGACAGACGAAAAAGTAACACCAATAGATTCTAAGGGAACAAAAACCCAAAATGTCCGCACCCAAAGAACACCAAACCTATAGAACAAGAACAATCATACTCCCGGTAAATATACAGACAAAAAAAGCTGATTATTACACCACACCTTATCCAATTTCTCGAAAGAATCCGCCTTTCGAGGTATCCATCCTTTAATGGCTTCCCCTGCCACCGAAGTCAACCAAGATGGCCACCCCGCAACTACCTGTGACCCGTCAACCCCATTCTTCATGCTCAATACCCGACAAATCTGAGGCTGCCCAATAACAGCATTCTCAAAAACCATAGGCTTCTTATCACCTGTGGGCCCCACGCTTTTCTCGGCATTTTCTGTTTTATAAGCTTTGCGGTAGCTTCATTGCCTTTGCTATCGGCCTCAACAACAACATCTTCCTTCCTGACCGAGCTTTTCGAGGATCCTTTGGAGGCTTTCTCCTTTTTCTTGACCTCGTTCTCATCCTTTGCTATTTTGGAGCAAATGCAGCCCATGCCCAAGGAGAGTTTCAGGCCCCTGTTTTTCTTAACAGGAAACCTGATGTTTCGAAAGCATAGGACAAGCTTGTTTTCCCCTAATATCCCCAGCATTTAGCTGAAGCATTTAACACATTCTCAGGGATGGTAAACGAATTTTGGGAGATTGTAAACGATTTTCTAACGCCTGTTCTTTCTATGCGTGACTTAGTGGGAACAGCGCAGGATCTAATTTAAACAATGCCTGAGACCAGAATTTTGTAATCTGAACGTAAATCGATCAGTATTTGCCCCTACGATTGAATTGAAAACCCCAATTGAACTATGGAGGGAAGCGAATATTGAAGCAAACTAGATCACAAATCACATCTTTTTAACCCGCATTTCCAGAAATCAAGAGAATTATCGATTGCGAAAAGACGACCAACTCAACGGAGAAAAAAAAAAAGAAAGAGAATGAAGAAACAAAAGGCGACTTCTGGTGGGCGCAAAACATACAATTAATCAAAAGAAAAAAAAAATGGCTGCTCCCAAATTCACTGCTATGGAGTGTCTAGAACCATTGATTTTGTTCAAATCAACGATACCCAATGAATCTTTATTAAAATATTATTATTATTACTCATTTACTAAATACCGTACTTAAATTACTTTTACCGCACCCAAAAAAGACACAAATACCCTTAGTAATATAAAAAAATAAAAAAATTAAAAAATAAAAAAAATAAATCAGAAAAAGGGACAAAACCGCACCCCACCCCAAGTCTCCCTCTCACTCTCAAAAACTCACAAGAAAAAAAAAATTGAACAAATCGTTCGAAAAAATTCCAAAAAAAAAATTCTGACACTATAGTCTTGAATGGTTTTTCTGTTCTTACAAGTTATCTAGAATAAAATAAATTACTTTATGAGTAATCTCATGAATTTACATTCTCTTGGCAATTTTATATGAATAAATTTCTCATTCATAGGATAAATTTCAGTCGAAGCCAGTGACACCAAAACCGATTATCGAACCTGAGACAAATGTCGTGACAACTTTGTGGATGGCGCACGTTATATAAAAGATTCAATTTGCATAAATATCTCGGCTAAGATTTTTGGAGAGAGAAAAGATTTGTACATATTTCAGAAGGACATAATGGAGTTGTTGCAAAGTCAAAAACTTTGCATTTCTATCATTGAATTCTTCAACATGTAAGTATTTCTCATCATTTTTGCCTGCTTTTTATCTGCAATTTGAGGTAATAATTTTCTATATTAAATGTTTAATTCAATAATCTTTAATAGTTTAGTATTATATATACATTATTCACTATATTTTCTTCTAAAAATTATTTATTTTTTTGAGTTACCACAGGTATCTATGATTAATGAAAAAATATTAATAATATATTATTAAGAAACAAATATATTAATATTAAACAATATTAATATTTATATTAATTATTAGTTTAAAATTTTTTATTTAGGCTGATGAGTATATTGTCGAGTTCGAGGGTTCTGGACCCCGACACACATCCTCTCGAAATGTGAATGCTTCCGTTCGGCGGGAGAGGGAACGGATGCGCCTTCATGCTCGCAGGGTACAGACTGCCCAAACTGGTAGTTCGAGACATCATGTTGCTCCGATACAGAGTGGTCAGCAGTATGGCCCAGTCATGCCTCAGTCTGGCCCATTCATGCCTGGCAGTTGGAGTGGTCAGCAGTCCTTGTCACTGAGGCGTAGCAGTTCTGGACGTCTCCCGGCTATACGTATTGTTCGTCGGCGGGACTCCATTAAGTCGACAGTCAGGAGTCCGAGGCATGATGATGATGTTGCTGATGATGATGACGATGACGAGCAGACCTATGATGATGATGAGCAGGCCTATGATGATGACGAGCAGACATATGATGATGACGAGCAGGCTTATGATGATGACTTTGATGCAGCTGAGCAGCCACAGACCCAGCCACAGGCACGTCCAGCTAAACGACTCGGCCGAGTTGATCCTCCACGACAGGCTGGGGGCCGTTATACGAGCGTTGCATCATCTTCAGGTAAATGATTTACGTATTTATTGTTGTTTACCATTAGATATTATTTTATTTAATAACAGCGCATCATTGATACAATCAATCACAGTATGTCGTATATATATTGATTGTTCTATTATAATACAAGGGCGAGTAGCAAACGCACTAAGTGTGACGACTGGCTTGTTAAATCCCCAGTACCCAGTGGCCCCTTTGACGGGAGTGTTATCCCTAGTTTTCTAGGGCACGTAGCCTCCTGGATTTGGACAGGACGTGTTAGAGGCACGTTGAAGTGCCAAAACAGGATGTCAGCGAACGGTGTTTTGAGGGAGTGGCTCGTACAGATGGCTGAGGCTCCGCTAGATCTGATCCGTCCGACCGGGCTGTCACATTTGGCGTCCAGCATGCATGACCACATTGACACTCCACTTATTTCAGCATTTGTGGAGCGTTGGCAGCCGGATACCAACTCGTTTCACCTGCCTTTTGGTGAAATGAGTATCATGTTGCACGACGTGAGGGCGATATTGGGGGTTCCTGTCGTCGGTGCGTTAGTCACAGGGGACCCCGACACCTTGACATAGCAAGCGCACTGCATGGAGCTCCTGGGGGTGGACCAGACAACGCTGATAGCGAAGTTTTGGGGTCACGGCTCGGTGACGAATGAAGCCGTTTTTACTGCGTTGGAGAAGAATGGCGCAGGTCGGTCGGCTGAGCATGTGGCGATTGGCTGGCTGTGGGTGTTGCTCGCTACCACCTTGTTTACAGACAAGAGTGGTAACAGGGTCAGTCCTAAAATCCTGCACGAGATGATGGAGGACCTGCACAGTGTTGGGGCTTACTCGTGGGGCTCGGCCGCACTGGCATACCTATTCAGACATTTAGGTATGGCCAGTAGGGGGGAGTCGGGGGGAGTGGCGGGCTGCTTGACTCTCATGCAGTCCTGGATATACGAGTACTTCCCCACCTTCCGACCCGCCGGTTCGCGTATGGCCTCCGAGCCTGACAGCTTGGCCCGATCAGCCTTGTGGAGGACCCCCGTCCCAGATAACTCAGATAAGCGCCTCAAGCATTTCCGTAGGCAGCTTGACAGACTCACAACCGCCGAGGTACGTTAAGTTATTTTATTACATTTACTTGAAAGTTATTTAGAATACTCGAATTGTTTGAATAAATGTTTTATACAATTGTGAACAGGTAAACTGGCTGCCATACGGCCCCAACCCACATTTGCAGGAGCCCAGGACCCTTTATTACGGATGCCTTAGGTACCGGGATATTGTGGAGCCGTACATGCCTATGCGTTTCTTGCGTCAGTTGGGCTACGTCCAAACGATCCCTCCCCGCATGGATCGTCCGATCACTGTATTTCGTGGTTGGAATGCTAGGATGTACAGGGTTGAGCATGTATCGGACGCTGCAGTAGATCACTGGGATCAATTCCCGGTACTGCATTCTGTACGCTTGTCTGATTTTACTCTCACCACCGCAGATGATCTAGGGGCGGCCCATGAGGACTACCAGCGATGGTATGAGCGTTATTCTCATCCTATACTCTTACCCGACAGTCAGGCGGACAACGAGGCTGTCCCTGCGCGCGCCAACACAGATTACGTAAGTCGTTTACTAAATTTAGTTAGTATTCGTTCATTACAATTTTTTTTATATTTTAATTATGTGTATATATTTTCTTTGTGCTTTGTGTAGTGGGTCGGACGGTCCATGTCCCTTTCATCAGATATGCATCGGGAGTTCGCGACAGTTGCTTCTGAAATGGCGGCAATTTATGCAGAAAAATTGGCTCAGTTGAAGTTGGATTTCGACAGAGCGCAGTAGTGATGTAATAAATACTTAACTTTTTTCTTTTTTATATTTTGTTTTGGATGTTGGTTTTTTGTTGCAGAAAAATTGTTTTTTTTTTATTTGTGGTTACTTAATTTTATTTTCATGTAAACAAAAAATTCTCCCATTATATCACGTGAAACGGTAGACACGGCGAGATATCACAATCTATCACTCGTAACGCATGAAAATAAAATTTAAAAAAAAAACCGCAGACATAAGTCGAATATCACAATATATCAAATTCCAGCTGCAGTACGAATATCATGCCACAACTGGAACCTGCTCTGGTACTGATACGGCCAATCTCAAACCGAAACATCTCCGTATTTCTCCCACAAAAAACACAAAGGCGGTAATGGAGAATCAGAACACAGATTGACACGAATGAAGTGCGCGTAGGAACCAAGATGACCTATGACGATCTCACAGTCAGATCGTGTAGCCGTGGATGGTGCGCGGATCGGGAATACCGTCATACTGGCCATGTCCATATTGTTATCGTTGGGACCATAACTTAACAACACGACAACTGCATTGAACAGTGTAGCAAAGGTCGCCGGTAGCATTCATCCAATGCTCCTCGCCACAAGGACCCCCGTCCCATCTTATACGATCGATTGCGACGTCGACTCCATCCCAATAAAATGGAGCGTACAAATGAATGTTGGTTGCAACCTCATTTGCAATATTTCTTCTTACCACATCCCACTTCTGCTGATCCCTATAAATGTAACTCGCAACCACCCGAAATCCGCAGTTCCCGTCCAGCGTCACATCCAGATAACTTTGTACGTAGCTGTGAACTACGTAGGGAATCCTACCACAATGTCGGTACTGAAAAAAATCTGTCTCGAATGTATCTGTAATATCAGAATAATTACACGTCATAATTTAGGTAATTGAATTTACAAACATAATTAGTCATCGTTCAGATAAAAAATAAAATTAAATTACCTGTCGGATCTTGAGACGATGAGCTTGTCGGGGCACACGAAGAAGTGCTTGTACGACCCACCGGACGACCTCTTTCCCTGTAGTCCCACATCGATGGAGCACAAGAAGAAGTGCTCTTACGCCCCGGCCGACGACCTGTTTCCGTGTACCCCGATTGCGATGGAGCACACGAAGAAGTGCTTTTACGCCCCGCCGTACGGCCTCTTTCACTGTACTCCCATCTCGATAGATCGCGTTTCGTTGAATTTTTCTTCTTGGGCCGACCTCTCGGATTTTCCTTCACTGCAGGTTCTGTG